GGGATGCCAGTCCGTCGCAGGGCACAGGCAGGGACACCCTGGGTGGGATGCCAGTCCGTCACAGGACACATACTGACAAAACTGTTTGTGCCTCACCATTAGCTTGTACACAAAACTTGTTTTCATGATACGTCTGTTTTTGTAATGCTGATTTGTAATGTCATTATTATATTAATTTCTGTCTCTTGAAAGATTTAACAGAGTATGTATTGCTTCCTGTGTCCTGTTTTTCCCAGGCACTGATGGTGGACTTGGGAACAGACCGTTTTATTAGACAGGTCAGTTTAAAAAATGAATGTACATTCATATCAAACGTATCACAATGGCACATATTATATACATAGACACATACATAGATTGCTTATCATTGTATTCCCTGGACGGAGAACACATGCGGCTTTGGGACTGGCCGCCTAAAACACTTCCTCAGTAGCCAAATAACTCATGTGTTTAATGGATCTTTTTCAAACATTATAGAAACATGCTATGGGTGATGAACTGGAAATTATTCAATTTTGGAAACATCACCCCAAGATTGAATCAATGCTGCTTTGTGGCATCAAAGGGAAGGGAGATGGATCCTATTTCCACTTCTCAGAAACATGAAAACCTACATCTGATAGACCCAAACAGGAACAGGAGCGATAGGTAACAGCAGAAAAGGGAGGCTGGCAGACGCTGACTTGAACACAGTAATTGGAAATTTTTGTCAAACTTCCCAGGAACATTACGCTGGTCAGTGATTCTTATACTGTGGAGCATGAGATGATTTTCTGAATATTCTTAAAGTTCATACGATCGGCAACCCTGCCATTGACAAATTTTTATTAGTAGCAGTCCGGTAGTGGAAATGCATTGTGGCCACGTGGGCTTCGATCGGTACTTGTCAGAGTTTTGTGTCACTAGTAGGGCTCAAAGCATTTGGTAAAAACACATTAACTGGCTTTCACATTTCCAGTTGATCCATCCAGCATATCTAGAAATTGTATAGGTTGCAGTGTGTGGGTGGAGTAAGGATTAGATGGGTAGGGGGCATCGGGGCTGTACGGGGAACACAGTGCCGTCGTTCCGACAGCATCCTTTCTAGTTTTTTCATTGTTTACGTATAACAATATATCCCTGCACACTAACGTCAAAATTAATCAATGCACTGTAAATCCTGCACTCTGGACAGTTAAGCTAATCCTGATACCAATACATTAAACTGGAGAGCATTCAATCACATTTTCAGTTAACCACCAGCAGCATCTTAGGCATTAAAATCATGCATAAACCACATTGTCATTAGTAAATGTTTAATAAGTGGTGCCTCACCCCCCCTGGGATGTTAGACTGCAAGGCTGTGGCTTAAAGTAACAGAATAACTCTCATGGCTGCTCTCAAGGCACATTAAAGATTCATTCAAGTCTGGGCGTGACATCTAAGCATGGAGTGACACAAAGCTGACCTCTAATCGTGGTTTGTATTCTGCAGATGTTAACATGAGGCATAGTGTTTTGCTGTCAATGTTGTTTTATATATTTTTTGAAAATTTTAATCTTAAACCTGGCTTAATGTGTATGATTTATATAGAAGAGTTAGTAAATATGACATTCACAATGTTTAGATGGATGATGAGGCCACACTCTTACCACGGAAACTTCAGTCTGCTTTGGAGCAGGCCCTAGAGCAGAGGAATGACATCATCAATCAGGACTCGGACAGCGAATCGGATGAAGGTAAGAGGGACACCTGAGCCTTATTACCATTGACCAACAGTGGCACCATATCTCCCCTCTGCAATTGATTACCTTAACAACTGGAGGAAAATGCAGCATTACATCACGAGATACCATTCAATTGAGTGATGTCAGTGATGCAAGGCAACAGCAAAAGAGGAACAAGCCACATATGGTTCATTTTAGTGTGTAAACCAGAAAACAAAATGTGTGAGTGGGATCTGATAACACTTCGACATATTTATTAATATCGTAGGCGACAACTTCTCAGTGACATCTACAAGGTAACATTTTACATATATAACCAATTAGTAAAGAAAACAACCGTCAATCCAATCAGAACTTCTGCTCAGGCTCTTCATACTATGTTGACACTGAAATTATTTGTCACTTTAACAACAAATTATTCATTTGGGTGGGATGAAAGCTGGAAGAGATTAGTTTATGTTCCAAAGTAGCTGTTGATGCAGTTTCCCTGTGATTTAAAAGGACATGATTTCCTTTTCTGTCCAAAACAAGATAGCCTTCTTGTTTTGAAAGTCACTCTGCAGTAGATGATGAATCCTTATAATTGAAACAGTTTTCTGTGTTGTCTTATCTAAAACAGTGTAATATGTTCCTGAAAAGTGTAATCTACGATATTTTATCACGCTAGCTGAATTCATAACAGGAACATGCTCATTTTGTCATGCCCTGTGTCCCAGTGTTTCGCCCGGTCATATATGACATAGGCCCTGTGTCCCAGTGTTTCGCCCGGTCATATATGACATAGGCCCTGTGTCCCAGTGTTTCGCCTGGTCATATGTGACACAGGCGCTGTGTCTTTCAGAGTGTAACTCCCTGAGCAGTGTGGTGTCGGAGGCCTTTATCCGCTTTTTCCTGGAGACCATTGGGCACTACTCGCTGTTCCTGACCCAGAATGAGCGGGGTGACCGCGTCTTCCAGAGAGATGCCTTCCGCAAGTCTGTGGCTTCCAAGAGTGTCCGTCGCTTCTTGGGTGTGTTTATGGAGTCCCAGATGTTTGCTGGGTTTATCCAGGACCGGGAGCTGCGGAAGAGCAGGGCCAAAGGTATATGCCATCTGGGTCACAGTTTGTTCTACTCTCTACTGAATCCCATGTCACCAGTCAGGATGTCAGCCCAGCTGTGCTGCTTCCTCCATGCTGGCTTGGCACAGTGCTGAGATAATCTATCCATCTTCCAAGCTCTTATCCAGCACAGGGTTCTGGTCAATATCTGTGTGTAACATATATGTCAGCGCCCTTAATTCATTGACTCTGTAGAGTTTGAGTGCACTCTACTGGTCATATAAGTGTTTGACTGAAGTTCAGAAACTTTCCCAGGAAGCCTGGGGCACAAGGCAGGGTACCTCCTAGACAGGATTCCAGTCCCTCAGAGTTCACACAAAGAACTACACCCTAAAAGCAAGGAGGAAATCCATATAAAACAGGAAACAATCAAACTCCACATGCTCAGATACCCCCAACCCTGAAGGTGTGCAACAACAGTGCTACCATCCATTGATAATTATATATATTATGTTTGGTGCCATCACCTTGTATTAAAAGCAGTACAATGCTGCAGGTCTCTTTGAAGAAAGGGTGGAGCAGTACCTCGAGGAGTTACCTGACACAGAACAGAGTGCAGTCAACAAGTTCCTCAGAGGACTGGGTAAGTAGAGCACCATGCACTCCTGCTTCATTAGGGAGACTTTTTGACAGTTTTTTGGAAGGACTCTAATTATCCAACTTAACAGAATGTGTTTACTAGTTCAAATATCCCTGGAACATATGGAGCTTCACCACTGTGTGAACTAACAGATTGATTAATAATAAATTAATATGCTGGTTGAAATGTCTCAGGGCAGGGTAGGTTGGAATAAAGACCAGCACTCACAGTGAATGCCCCAGGGCAGGGTACAGTAGGTTGTAATAAAGACCTGCACTCACAATGAATGCCCCAGGGCAGGGTAGGTTGTAATAAAGACCTGCACTCACAGCAAATGTCCCAGGGCAGAGTAGGTTGTAATAAAGATCTACATTCACAGTGAATGCCCCAGGGCAGGGTAGGTTGTAATAAAGACCTGCACTCACAGTGAATGCTCCAGGGCACGGTTGGTTGTAATAAAGACCTGCATTCACAGTGAATGCCCCAGGGCAGGGTAGGTTGTAATTAAGACTTACACTATCAGTGAATGCTCCAGGGCAGTGTAGGCTGTAATAAAGCCTGCACTCACAGTGAATGCTCCAGGGCAGTGTAGGCTGTAATAAAGACCTGCACTCA